TTTTGTTTGGAAGGTCATACTTCAGAGGTCGTCTCATATGAATCGAAATTGATTCAGANTTATTTTTTTTTTTTCTAAAAATTTACTTTATTTATAGTTATTATATTGTTATATTTCATGTTTAAGTAAACACTTTCAGGTACAAAAGTGTAAAGCTAATTTAGGAAAGGGTAGATGGTAATAAAGTCACGCCCTCTAAAATAGGAATATTATTTTGTGACAAATTTTATTTACATTTATCGAAACTTATGACAAATTTCGTGCTTAATTGATGCCGTATCAAACCTAAACCATTTAGCACCGATTACACTTTTAGAATTAGTAGCAATACCTAGTAACTTTGCAAATTTTTTTAAAGGTAACATGGCATGAACTTATGAAGATTATGGTAAAAACTAAATGAAAATTATGGTCATAAGGAAGTTGTAGAACTGAAATAATTTTTGTTTTATTATTGTTCAGATTCAGATGTATATCAGGATTCCAATGTCCACTAACTTAAATAGTCGTCGAATAAAATTTTTGGTTCAACTAATTAGAATAATAGCATTTGCCTTCCATTTGTCCTTGATATAACAGCATTTTTCATAAATTTTTACATAAACGTCTAAACATAGAAGCATTAATATAAGGATAGTATTATTAATTCAAGATGAACTTCTTATTAGTAATCAAAAGCTCCATTTTTGTAAGTACAAATGTGAGATTTTTGCAATGAAATGAATATGCATTGGGTTACCTGAGCATAAATTTATTGTCTTTAAATTCTCAAATTCTGAAGGTAGTTTTATTAATAGTTACGCTAAAAGTTTATTTTACACTAATCGATAATTGGTATAACCTCATCTTTCACCATTAATAGTAGTTAATTTTCACTGTAAACCTAACGGTATTATTCGATATTTAATTAAATTTTCAACTTTATTCATAACCATTTTTGTTCTTTGAGGACCTTTTACCAACAAAAAAAAGGAAATAAATTGCCAACGTTGAGGTACAGATGGAAAGTGGTTAATTTTGAATTCTAAGTTGAAAAGTATAAAATATTAATTAAATATGCCATTTTATTTTTAAATCAACGTAATCCGAATTTATCCGAACGCTGTACTGATCAAATTAATGTATTTGATATGCAACAAACCTTTTCTTATCTTATTAAATATTTGTGTACTAATTCTATCATTTATTAGGGATTTTAATTCATAAATTAGTTTATTTTATAAGTTTTCATTTACCTAGTTGATGATTTCATGTACTATTCACAACTCGGCTGGTTTACGATTAATAAACGTATGATACACAAGATTTTAAAGAAAATAGTACCTATTTCTTTGCTAATGAGACATTTTTAAATTTTTGTAGGCTTAAACTCAATGCATTAGTGAATTAATGTTTTGAATTAACTTTACCTACTACAGATAACAGATGACAGCATCAACACCGATGATACGTACTTAATTGCAGAATCGTCGAACCAATGTATAATCATATGACAGCAGCAAGAATTTTTCCTCATTGATTTGAGGTTATCAGTTACAAAGTTCATTCAAAAAATTAATTCACTAATGCAGAGTGTTTATTTGTTTCTGTTTTCTTTTTTAATAAGTAGTTTGAAAAATCTATTAGTAGATTGTAAATTTGTTCTTTTTGTACTTACTTTGTTTAACATTCATTGCTTTGTCACAATAATTTTCTGCTGTTTGAAGAATTATCTCGTTTGTTTCAAAAAGATACATTTAATAACAGTAATGACGGATCGTCAATACTTTTTATAGAGTTACATAATTGTAGTAAGCGTCTGCTTTTTACGGATATGCATAGGTATATAAAGTTGGAAATTATTACAATTATTGTTCATGGAAGTAAATGTATTGTTATGTACTTGCAACGAACGTTAATTATTCAAGTTATTCAGCCGAACTAGAAGCTCATTTGAAATTCAAAGTTGCTAGAAGTGATCACGATCCTTGTAAGATAAAATAAATAACTATTATGTCCACAAGTCTAGTAGGTAATCGTCAATGATATTTTTCTAATTTGCAAGTAAATTGCCGCAAAATATTTATATTTAACATCGAAAAAATGCACCACAGCAAAAAGTTGACTGAAGAATTTTAAAGATCATCTAATTATAGATAAATGATAATACTTGTTTAGATTGTGTTGCTTTTTTTCAATTTTTGGCAAACACTAAAACAACTTTAAAGTTAAAAACACCTACCTACATATATGTAATCGCGTAAAAACATAAACATTTAAATAGTATTAAAAAATAAATTAGTTTGAGAAATATCGGAAAAACAGAAACAGTAATAAATCGAACTTGTACCTATTTTTATTACATTTTCGTTTCAATATCATACTGATTAGGTATCATATTTCAATTAAAGAATTTATTCAATCATTATTCTCTCGCAGACAGCGTCAGGGTTAGGGAGGGGTGAGCAGGGCAAAAGTACCCCTAGCCCAGGTCCTAAAAGTTCAACTCCATCCCGAATGCCTAACTAAATAGAAATCAAAAACAAAAGTCAAAATTTAAACTTATAACTTATCCTACAGGATTGTTTCTTGCAGGAATTGATGAACTGTTTGAAAAATACAAAGAGCTATATGAACACAGGAATCAGTTTGTCCGCTGTTTAGATTATTCCGAGATTATAAAAGGCTATTATTTTGGAAAAATTATCACTTTTTGGGTTTCAGGTCAAAAATTAATTATTTATATGTTTTGGAAAAGTGGGAAAATTTTATTGTATATAATAAATTTAACTGAATAGGATAATTCTCATCTTTAGCCATAATAGGTAATATGTTGATTTTCCGATGATTTCATTCGTTTCATGATCAGAAAATTTGGAAAATGGGAATGTTTTTTGAGGGTATAAAAGGCTATTATTTTGGAAAAATTGTGACTTTTTGGGTTTCAGGTCAAAAATTAACTATCTAGTGATGTTTTGGAAAAGTGGGAAAATGGGAATATTTTATTGTATATAGTAAATTTAACTGAATAGGATAATTCTCATCCTTAGCTATAATAGGTAAATTGTTGAGTTTCCGATGATTTCTTTCGTTTCATGATCACTAGGTATCATTTCCACAATTTCCTTTCTCCGGAAGATTTTTCCGAAGAAAATTAATGGAAATTCGAATTAGAGAAAATTTATAATAATGTATACGTAACCCCGACTCGAATCTCCAATTCCAAAATTTATTTCGGACGGGTATCTAATCGGTGTGGCATTTCCAAAATCTTCAAAAATTGACAATCTTTTCAGATTCTAATTAAAATATGTAACAAGAAAATTTTAAGTAAAATTACCTACCAAGGTATTGATTTTTGTTATATAAACAATTTTTCTATAATATGTTAAATTTTCATTGACTACTTTCAAATATTTCGTTCAATGTATAACAAAATTTTCCATGCATACTTAGATGATGGTCTAATTAAAATGACGAAACGTTGCGCTTTATTTCCGCCTCGCCGCTATCTTAGCCATTAATTTCCTTTTACACTTGTACTAATATAAATAAATCAGTGATCGAAGTGTTTAACGTGAAAGAGTGTGGTGGTGATACTCGAATTTGCATTCCGCTTGTTGCCACATTGTAAAATGCTATTTGAGTTTGCCACCTAAACGGTTACATATTCTCACGTAATTGTTATGGTAATTTATGGATTTAGAAGTCTGGGAAATATTTTACACCGTCTTCGTCGGAAGCACGTATACCAGGCAGAATGCCAACAGAGTTCCCATTCGATTCGACGTATGTGGACCGAGTACAGACACGTCAGTCGATTCTATTCTCTCTTTTTCGATACAAAGAATTATAAGAGTTATCGTATACACAAGTGACGTTTAACGTATTCGCTTCCACTACTTACTTCATTAATCACCCATTATTTCCCGCTCAGTCAGTCAGTATAACCGACAGTTATTTAATGAAAATTTTGCGAATTAAACTGCTAATACGAATTTCTTGACAAATGGGAAATTTGTGACAAAATCAATGAATTGTATTGTTGTACTGGTTTACTGTTTGTCCGATATGTTGCTTAATATAGAAAATAAAATTTTCGAAAAGTTTTCTTAGAAATTTTCAAAATTTTGACGTTTATTTTCTTACTTTTTTACAATTAATTTTTAGCTTTTGTCATTTTTCGATCTAAAATGGAAAAAACAGTTAAACACAATTACTATTTCTCTCTCAAATTTTACGAAATCACTTTTTTAAAATTTTGTTTTAATAATTTTCTGAAAAATTTAACTTGTGTTTTAGTTTTTCATCAATTTATATTGATAAAAATACTGTACAAGG